AGTCACTTGGTAGCCATTTGGGCTATCAGATTGACTGTTCTGGTATCCCAGTGCTTGTGTTCAAGTAGCCTTATTTTACTTCATAATGGCCCCAAAGCACAAGAGTAGTGATGCTGACAATTCAAATATGCCAAAGATTAGCTGCAAAATGCTTCCTTTAAGAGAAAAGGTAAAAGTTCTCAATAAGGAAAGAAAACAAAATCATATACTGAGGTTGCTAAGTTTACTAAGAACAAATCTTCCATCTGTGAAATAGTGAGAAAAGTGAAAGAAATTCATGCTAGTTATGCTGTCGCACCTCAAACTACAAAAGTTACAGCCACAGTGCATGATAAGTGCTTAGCTGAGATGGAAAAGGCAGTAAACTTGTGGGTAGAAATATGAACAGAAATGTGTTTTGATTGATTGACAACAAATAGATTTGGTACTATGTTTTCAGGCATCTACTGGGGGTCTTGGAATGTATCACCTACTGTATTACTCAGCAATTAGAAACTTTCAAATATGAGGGTAACATGTTTATCATTGAGACAGAAATCTATAAAGAGTGGAATTAAATCTATTATTTAATAGCATTAATTATAATCAAAGAGGCAAAATTTATTACTATTAGACTGGCATATGAAGAAATATGGGGATGATCTTGTTTTATAGAACCACAAAATAATCATAAAATACAACAGCTGTGTTCCCTAAAGTGCAATTTGATTTGTGTTTTTATTGATTTATCTTCATTCCTAAGCAATGCTTTATGCTCCTTTTTGATGGGGCTTTTTGATGAGGCTTGCCTTAGTAGAAAGTGCAAAGGATCTAGTCTGAGACCTGAGTTCAATTCCTGTGAAACACTTCAATTCTTTTTTTAAGACAGAGTCTCACTCTGTTGCCCAGGCTGGAGTGCGGTGGTGTGATCTTGGCTCACTGCAACCTCTGCCACCTGGGTTCAAGCAATTCTCCTGCCTCGGCTTCCCAAGTAGCTGCGATTACAGGTGCCTGCCACCACACACAGCTACTTTTTGTATTTTTTAATAGAGACAAGGTTTCACCATGTTGGCTGGGCTCATCTTGAGCTCTTGACCTCAAGTGACCATATTGGCAGGGCAGGTCTTGAACTCCTGACCTCAAGTGATCCGCCTGCCTTAGCCTCCCAAAGTGCTGGGATTAGAGCAATAAACCACCATGCCTGAACCACTTCAATGCTTTTAATTATTGTTTACTCCTTTATAAAATAGATATAACAATAATACTGTCCTCAAGAAAGGCTATAAGGATGACATATTCATGCATGAGAAAGACAATGTAAAGTTATAGATTAACATTAAGTATTAGAATTTATGCTATATGACACTTGGGTTTAGTGCTCTGAAACCTAAATAAGAGCATTCTTTCTTTTTTATTAGAATACACTGAATTTCTGCTTTTTATCTTGTTTTGTCTATTATTCTATGATTATCCCTTTTAGCTAGTGAGTCAATTTTACTGATCTTTATCAAGTTATGTAAATAGAAGTTGTTTGGAACTTGGAAAAGGTTGTGAAAGATACTGTGATTACAAAAGTGCATTACAAAGTAACACACAGGAAGTATAGAATTTGAAAATGTAACAACTAGTTTGTGGTGGAAAGTTGCTATGTCTCCAATAATTTATACAGATATGATTTAATCTCCCAAATAAGATGGGGTTTCTCAATCTACATTTAGCATTTCTCTTCTTCCTGGCAGGGATTTTAGAAGATTGTCACTCTACTCACCCTATTTTTAGAAATAATATTAATACTTCATGTTCTAAAGTGCCTTCCAGAACAGGAATCTCTCCAGGTAGAGGAAATATTTAACTGTAAATAGTAGATGTATTTATCCATAGCCAAGTGTGTACATTTTGACTAAAGCATGCCCATGTGTCTATTAAATTTTGTATTATGATAAATCCCTTACATATGACTTCTAACATACCCCTTTCTAAATATTTAGAAAAGAAATATTGACTCAATATCCACTGGGTAAATTTCTACTGCAAACCCAATAAGTATTGCATGATGATTCCTCTAGGCATATAGACTGTCAGACTAAATTTTTCTTGCTTTGAAAATCAGCTAGTGTAGTTGGTTTTAGAAGGTGTTGAGAAAATTGAGTTTGTGAATTGGAGCTCAGGTAGGCCAGCTAGCTTCGTAATATTTCAGAATTATATTTTTACAAGCGCCTGTCACTGCTTTCAGCAGGAACCAGGTGAGATATACAGACAGATTAGCAAAATCCTTCTTCCTCCTTTTTCTTGGGAAACTCAATATAGCATATTGAAAAGAGGTCACAGAAACCATCCTTGTACAATGAGATATTTTTCAGTATGCAAATTATAACATTTCCATTAGAAGTTCAAATCACCACTTAAAGCATTTTTTAGGGCTCTTTAATATCGTTCAATTTAGGACAAGTTGGACTTAAGGTGAAATTAAGTTCTGTGTAACTCAATTTATTTTATATAGCTAAAATTATTTTACATTATGCTCTTCAGGTGATGTTAGCTATGTAAGCTGTACTATTTAATTAAATAAATAAATTGTATGAAATATATACATTGATAAAATTGATAAATGAATAAAAATATAACCTCTAGATAGAACTAAGAATTAACTAAGAACCTCTCCTGAACACTATAATTGGAAAACATGTAATGCTGTGGTATAGGAAATGCTCGCCCAATGAATCATCCATTTTCAAGGTAATAACTAATTTGGAAATTATGCTTTTTTCCTTAGAAAACAGCATTAGCCTTATTTCCTTCAGAAAAAACTGAATAAAACACTTTTATTTGTGGCACAGAGAATAGTTGCCTTACCCAGAGCTCAGAAAACCACATAAACAGAGGAAGAATGTACTCTTGGTTAGCATGTAAAGCATGCAGCTGACATTTTGCAAAGCTTGTTATTAGAACAACATTTCCTCCTCAGCTGTAAGGTGGTTGAGTATGCAGCTTAGAATTAGACGGTCTGCATCTGAATTACAGTTCACCGTTTCCCAACTGTGTGAGTTTAGAATTTACAAAATCCCCATAAGCTTGAGTTTCTTCAACTACGAAAGGGAAGTAAAAATATCTACCTTGCAAGGTTTTGTAAATAGGATATAAGATGGTAAATGCAAGATATTTAACATAGTGATTGGCAAATATTTTCATTATGAGTAAATATTATTGCAGTGTAATGATGGATCTCATACTTGAACTTTCAGCATGTGAAAAACTAGATTCTGAAAATAAGATCTGGATACTCAAGAAATCAGTGTTCATAGTAGATTAGGATTACACAAAACCAGTGAAGTGCCCACTAAAGAAAAACAAGATGCTAAATAAAAGAGAAATTAACACCAGAACAGAATATTTTCTTAGCCATTAGTATGACTAAGTGTTTTACCAGTTACTGTTTTACCAACTAAAGTGTTTTACCAGTTCCACTGTGAGAAGGACATGGAAGTTTATTCAGATCTTCATTTTTATCTACCGAATACTTATCATGAATGCTATGCATATGATCTATTTGTTTAATGCATTCATATATATAGAAATTTTAATAAACTTATCCACATGTACCTTATTAATACTTGGGATTATTTATTATTTTCATTATCAATTAGAGTTTTGCATATCTCATAAAATGCTAGAAAAGGGAATATTTGGGGTATTATTTCATATATAGATAACTGAACTAGGTGAACCCAACTGACCACTATAGTCAAGATTCTTTTGCCAAGAAGGAGAAAACTGATGAGCAGTATGAGTAGTTCAAACACCAAAGACTGCACTCAGATATGCTTGAGTCGAATTCACATTTTCCATTTAAGAGATTAGACAATATTCTTAAATTCTCTGAGACTTCATTTTTCTGTCTATAAACTGAATGTAATACTGCCTCTCTCTGATGATCGTTGTAAGGTTTTAAGCATTTTTGAAGGCGTTTTACATAGAACTGAACACAGTAGGAACGTGATAAGTATTAAGTTATTTTGTCCTTTCCTTTTCTTTTGAAAATGCCCTATTATCTAAAAGGAAATTTTCTTCTTTTGGGGGAGGGGGTGTATAGCTTTGCTGAAGCACTGTAAAGTGTTTGATATAATCCTAGAAAAAAGGAGAAGTAGAATTATTTCAACTGGAAAAGTAAAGGAGGGAGATAATCAATGGACATAATTTATATTTACAAAAACTCTAATAGTTAATAAAGATCTTTACACATATGTGGACTTTCCTAATATATATATAATTCAGTTTGGAAAGTGCTTTTTGTCTTGTTAAAAATTTTTTGAGATAAAATAAATATGAAGGTCATGTCTTAACAAAGTATTGCTAAATTTTTATCTCAATTGTATTTTAGGGAAAACTAAAATCTTACATGTTATAAACTAGACTCAGGTAGAATGTCTTATAAATACTTTAACCCCACATTTATAAATATGCACAGATATGTCACTACATTTTCACTCTGCTTTATTAATAATTAATTTCTTATAGCTCCTACTATGTTTATTGAGCCTTGCTGAGAACAGCCACTGTTCACCTAACTTTGTATTTTGCCAACATTTGCTTATGATGTTCTTGATTTAATATGATAGGGTCTATTTTTAGGAACTATAGAGAGTTAAAAAAAAGAGAATTAGTAGTTCAAAGAAAAATTATCACCTGTGTGTACCCTTTGTCTATTACAAACAGGTTTATATCTGCTGTGTAAAAGAACATTCACACAAGAGTTGTTAAGAACCTTGTCTTTGGCTGGATGTGGTAGCTCACGCCTATAATCCCAGCACTATGGGAGGCTGAGGCAGGCAGATCACTTGAGCACAAGAGTGCAAGACCATCCTGGTCAACATGGCGAAACTCTGTCTCTACTAAAAATATAAAAATTAGCTGAGCGTGGTGGCATGCGCCTGTGGTCCCAGCTACCCAGGAGGCTGAGGTGGGAGGACTGCTTGAGCCCAGGAGGTGAAGTTGTGGCCCAGATTGCGCCACTGCACTGCAGCCTGGGTGACACAGCAAGACACTGTCTCAAACAAACAACAAAAAAAAGAACTCTGTTTTATGTGGTCTTTGGTCTTTCAAAAATTGCAGGATGGCTCATGTTGACCCAGGTGAGCATTGTTTTTTTTTGTTTTTTTGTTTTTTGCCAGTCTAATAACATGATTTCTGTGACTATTTTAAAGAATAGATTACTGTAGTACACTGTTTTAATATTTTGCTTCTGTTAACAGGAGTCATTAAGTTGTGAGAAATTTTAGTACTAGAGTTGTATTGAATTTCTTTAGTTTTCTTCATAGCATAAAACTTCTCCTGAAAAGGAAGAGGTCAATATGGACATCATGGTGGACAATTTCATGGAAGGATGATTTAGGCTTATTATAAAGCTTATTAGGCTTATTATGAATTAAAACTTATTATTAAGTATTAATGTAAATTATCATAGGGCCAGGCAGATAACTTAAATGAGATAAGTAGAAAGAATGAGAAAGTGTAAATCCCTAGAACTGTGCCATCTATGAAAATCTGTAGCCCACATTTACATGGACCGAATAAATCACTTCTGAGAGCTTCATTTGCTTTTTGAAATTCTTGTTGCTGTCTTGTCTTAAAGCATGGGTCACATTTGAGTAGCACAGTGGAGAAGGTATCTTCTAAGACTGGGGACCATTATAAGTAAAATTAAGAAATAAAAATAGCCTGGTAGGTGGGGACGGCTTTAGGGGGTCAGCCACGCTGTAGGGCAGTAATGTTCAACAAGGGGTGATTTTACGAGCATGTGATACTTGTCAATGTCTGTAGACGTTTGTAGACGTTTTGTTTATCACAACTGGGGAGGGATGCTACTGGCATCTCACAGATAGACACCAGCGGTGTGCTAAACACCTTATAATGCACAGGTCATCCCTTCACAACAGAGGATTATCCAGTCCAAAAGATCAGTAGTGTCCAGATTGAGAAACTGCTCTAGATGAATGTGTGTGTTGGGAAATAGGGGGAGGTAAAGTTAGATATTATATTCTGCTGTTTTTGGAGTTTTTGAGACAGGGTCTCACTGTTTCGCCCAGGCTGGAGTGCAGTAGTACGATCTTGGCTAACCACAACCTTAACTTCCCTGGCTCAAGTGATTCTCCCCTCTTCAGCCAAGTAGCTGGGAATACAGGCTCATGCCACCAGGATCAGCTATTTTTTTTTTTTTTGAGATGAAATCTTTCTCTGTCGCCCATGCTGGAGTGCAGTGGCCCGATCTTGGCACACTGCAACCTCTGCCTCCCAGGTTCAAGTGATTCTTCTGCCTCAGCCTCCCAAGTAGCTGCGATTACAGGCACATGCCACCACACTTGAATATTTTTTATTTATTTATTTATTTGTTTGTTTATTTATGTATTTATTTATTTATTTATTTAATTTTATTTTTAGTAGAGACTTGGTTTCACCATGTTGGCCAGGCTGATCTTGAACTCCTGACCTCAAGTGATCCATCTGCCTCAGCCTCCCAAAGTGCTGGGACTACAGGTGAGCCACTGTGCCTGGGTAATTTTTGTATTTTTTGTAGAGACGGGGTTTTGCTATGTTGCCCAGGATGGTCTTGAACTCCTAAGTTCAAGTAATCTACTTGATTACAGATGCGAGCCACCATGCCTGGCCTGCAGTGCTATTAAAATACCCAGCATAGAAGGTGGTAGTCAACTTAATCTATACTTTAAGGTCCGTTATTAACATGTTAGGTACCTTAATCAGGAATATGCACTCCAGGGATGGTTAGTTAGTACATGAAAATTTCTGAGTAGAGGCCCAAAGACCAGAGTCCTGGGCATTCAGAGTGTTTCACTTCTTTATTTTAATTAGTATCAGTTGCCCTGTTAATTAGTATAATGGAGGTTAGATATTACTTTTAATCTGTGAAATGAGGGCTCACAGGCTAGAAATTTGTATAGGCATGGGAACTGGTGCTTAAACAAGACACAGCAACCTAGTAAGTCCAACAGACCACATCCTTTGGAAAGGCATCAGAGGTTTAGAATTCTGAATCTTTCCTGTGTTCCATTGTTTATCAGAGGATATTGTTGTGAAACCCTGAACAGAAGGATAGTTAAATTCTTCTATTAGTATCTACTTCACATGAATTTTCCATTCAGGCCACTATCTTAGTCCATTCAATTAAAGTACATTAGACTAAAATACTGTAAATTGGGTAGCTTGTAAACAACAGAACTTATTTCTCACAGTTCTGGAGTCTGAGTGGTACAAGATCAAGGTGCTGACAGATTTGGTGTCTGGTGAGGGCCCACTTTCTCATGGATGGTGCCTTCTTCCTGTGTCCTCACGTGGTAGGAGGAGCAAGGAAGTTTTCTGGGGTCTCTTTTATATAGGCACCAGTCTCATGTTTGAGGGCTTTGCCTAAGGCCTTACTCCCAAAAGGCCCCACTTCCTAATGCCATCACCTTAGGGGTTAATATTCCAACATATGAATTTTGGGGAGGCACAAACATTCAAACTAGAACAACCAGTGTTGGGACACCTGAAAAGCTAAGAGAGATGAGCCTTCACGGAGCTTAAAGAACTGGTCATATGGCAAGTTAGGGGTCAAGTGACTATTTGCGTAAGTAGCAGAGTCAGCTCTGAGTCTTGCTCTCATGTTGGTGTATTCTGAGTGGCCAGGCTGTGGGAGAGAAGACCCACAGGGTACATCTTCTTCTAACCATTGGTTACAGCTGAAAGCTACCAAAATGAATCCAATACTTGTGAATTAACAATGTGCGTAGTTTTGTTTAGTGCATTCAGTTTACAGAAAACCTTGAAAGAGGGATAGAAGAATGCGTATAAGCCAGGAAGTTGATGTGATGGGAAGTTGAGAGCAGGGAATAATTACTTTATTACTTACGTTTCAGATTAAAAAGAGGGAAAACTAAGGGGTAAGAAAGCCAGTGAGAAAACTGTTAAAATAAAAGGTGTGAGGTGACAACAGTCACAATTCTGTTGGAGTCAGGAGCAATTGAGGGGAGATAAGTTAGAGAGATGTGTTGAAGGAATGGTAATAATAATATAGCTAAAATTTATAGTTCTCTATTTTTTCATTACTATGCTACACTAATTTCATGCATTTTTTCACTTAAATCTCAGAACAATTGTACAAGTTAGATACTATAGTTACCTCTATTTCATAGGTGAGAAAAATCAAGCACCAAAAATATAAAGGGCTGACTTAGGATCATTAACATTAGTAAATGATGGGCCTAAGCCTTCAAGACAGATTAGTGCAGGTTTACCTGGTAAGCCTTGTGTGATGGTGTTTCTAAAATGGGTATGCTGGAGATGAAGCCAGTTTTAATCAGGAAGGGAGAAGTACGCATGTGGACCTGCTTGATTTGAGATAGGAGAGGGAAGAATTTAGTAGGAGTTTTTGGCTCATGGAGGATCTGTGCTGAGGATCTGTCAAAGCTGAGCCACATAGACAGAGCCAAAACCATAATTCCATCAGTTAAACTGCCTTGTTTTCCTGGACCTTTTGGAGTTTTCTGAGCAGATTTATTTAACTTTTACTACAATAATAATTCTTCAATAATTTAACTTTTACTACTTCAAAAATTCTAGGTTGTAACTCCTGATGATGTGGCTTGCTTACATGGGCAGTGTAGGAGTCAGGCCCTTTGGTATCCAAAGGCTTGTATCAAGGAAATCACACAGGCATGATTTTTTTTTTTTTTTTTAAGATGGAATTTCGCTCTTGTTGCCCAAGCTGGAGTGCAATGGCAGAATCTCAGCTCACCACAACTTCCACCTCCCAGGTTCAAGTGATTCTCCTGCTTCAGCTTCTCAAGTAGCTGGGATTATAGGCATGTGCCACTACGCCCAGCTAATTTTGTATTTTTAGTGGAGACGGGCTTTCTGCAGGTTGGTCAGGCTGGTCTTGAACTCCTGACCTCAGGTGATCCACCTGCCTCAGCCTCCCAAAGTGTTGGGATTACAGGTGTGAGCCACTGCACCCAGCCAGGCGTGATTCTTAAACATGAATCTCTGATATTCAAACCTACTAAGATGCAGCACTTACAAAAACCAGGGCATCAATTTCTGCTGATTATAATCCTAGACAATTTGGGTTAAGTAGGTTAATAATTTTTAGATTATAACCTTGATAACTTTTATTGCTTCATCTCGCATTTGCCCTCACAAACTCAGAGGGTAAGGCAGGGTCTTCCTGAAAATTTTTTGAAAGACTGCTGCAGTACCTCACTGGGACTTAAAATTATCTGAGACACAATCTACAAATCCCTCCAAAGTCAATGAAAATGGGCGAAACTACCCCATCCCTACTTTTACCTTCAAGCCCAAACATTGGAAACCAGTGAATATTCTCAGGGATCCTTCCTGTTGAGAAGGATCTTAGACACATAGACACACTAGATCTTAGACACTCTACTAGACATTTTATGAAAAGACATTTGCTTATATTGTCTTCATTAATGACTCATTGCAGTGATTTATTTTTTTAGCAACCTACACTTCAAAAGATTTAATCCATGTAAAGTCTTATTTAAAGCTTATTTTTTCTTGCTAAAATAAAAGCTTCTTGAAGGCAAGGAACTTGTCTTTATCTTTAGTGCCTACATTAATGTCAGACATATTGCAAGGTCTGAGCATGGAAAAAAATTCCAGTCTTTGTGTTAAACAATACTGAGAGGTTAAGACCACAAACCAACTAAAATATCTACCTTATTAAAACAACAACAACAACAACAACAACAACATGGTATGCTCATCAGAACTGCTTTGCAAACAATCACTTCAGTAGCTCACTCACTTCACTCTGCCCACCAATCTACATTATTATGTGATTAACTCTACTTAATCCCCTGCTATTTGCTTTTCAAGAATGACTTCTGATATGCTTTGACTGTGTCACCACCCAAATCTCATCTTGAATTCCTACATGTTGTGGGAGGGACCTGGTGGGAGGTAATTGAGTCATGGGGTAAGTCTTTCCCATGCTATTCTCATCATAGTGAATAAGTCTCATGAGATCTGATGGTTTTAAAAAGAGGAGTTCCCCTGCACAAGTTCTCTCTCTTTGCCTGCCACCATCCATGTAATTTGTGACTTGCTCCTCTTTGCC